CTTCCTTGGGAGAGACCCAGGCTTGACTTCCAGCCAATGCCCCTCATGTGCAGCCACCACCTGTCTGTCAGTGGAGGTTTGCGTGTTGCTCTGATGCTGAACAGGTTTCAGTGAAGCTTCTAGACTTAGATGGATTAGGAAGAAAGGCCTGGGGATCTACTAATGAAAAGCAGCCAGTGAAAACCCTGTGGGTCACACTGGTCTGATCTGCAACCTATCAGGGGGATAGCACAGGACCAGGCAGCCTTTCATTCCATTGTGCATGAGGTCACCATGAGTTGGAGGCTAACTTGAGGGCAACTAACAACAAAATCTGCAGGAGGGAGAAGAAGAAGATTTCTCTGTAAACACAGACCAGTGGGTTTCAATACTCGGTGTGGTCTCTTAGGTCCACAGATTCTAATATTCTATCACCAGAGAGTCTGATTAAGAAGGTTTAGGACAGGACCTAGGAATCTATTTTTATCAAATACCTCTTCAAAGGAATTGATGCCTTTGAATTATGGCATTGGCAAAGAATATTGAATATACCATGGACTGCCAGAAAAACTAACAAGTCTGTCTTGGAAGAAGTGCAGCCAGAGTGCTCCTTGGGAATGAGGTTGGCAAGACATGTTATCAGGAGGGACCAGTCCCTGGAGAAGGATACCGTGCTTGGTAAGGCAGAGAGTCAGCAGAAAAGAGGAAGACCCTCAATAAGATGGATTGACACAGTGGCTGCAACAATGGGCTCAAACATAGCAACGATTGTGATGGTGGCACAGGACCGGGCAGTGTTTCGTTCTGTTGTACACGTGAGTCGGAACCGACTCAACGGCACGTAGCAACAGCAACAACGTGTTAAAAAATTTTCTGATGAAAGTTTGGTTTACTGCACTTGGATGAAAATTTCTTGAATGTATTCCCAGTTTATAGTACAGCACCTGGCACATATTAAGAGCTCAATGAACATTTGTGTACTGAATACATCACTTTGAACCTGAAAGATGAGGAGGGATGGCAGAGAATCTGAGGAATGATTTCATACTGTTTTCAACAGCACTGATAGCTCTTCTGTATCTTTGTCATGGATGGAAGACTCTTCACCCTTCTTAAAATGTATTTTCTAGTTAGTTCATGGATTTTAGATTTTGATGGAGATGGAATTGGGAAGGAGGGGAAGAAGGGGCATCATAAAATCAATTCCTCCTAAATTTACTGGGACTCTAGGACCCAAAGTTACGCCAAGCTGTGTGCCAATGAATGTCACTCCCCTTAGATACGGGTTCTATTAATGTCACTTTCCAAATAACCAGATACCATCTACATTGGATACAAAATGTAATTTATTTTCTCATTTTCTGACATTCATAAACTGTTCTCTGAACTGCTTTATAATTCATAATTTTATGTAGCTACCTCTGATTTTAGTTCTACTTCCACCTCCAACTGTATTCTGTTAGCCCTTATTACTTACAACCTGATTTTAAAAACTTTGGTATTACGTGCAAAATTCTCGTCTCCATGAAAGTTTCTTGCAGTTTGTTGTGCTTATTCTTTCTTTCTAAATCTCTCCTATACATCTCTAAAATAAATAGAAGTCAATTTGATTTTCTAAGAAATCACTGAAAATTCTTCGGTTGAGGAACTTAGCCAACAGCCATCTGTATGTAATGGATTTTAAACTTCTACCTGCCCAAATTATTTATTTTTTCACAATACCAAAGATTTTGCTTAACCTGGCCTAGCAATGAGTTTGTCAAGCATAGGGTAAGGAATGTTTTCCTACTGGTAGGAAAGTTTTCACTAGACTTAATGAAGATGAGAAGTCCAGATGTGGCTTGGGTTTCTTGTACAAGTTAAGAAGTTAATCTTTTTGCACGTGTGTGTGTGTGCATGCACCGGTGTGCGGCACAGTGATCTCAGAGAGCTCAGGTGAGGTCCTGGGCTACTGTTTTGCATGCTTGAATACCTGCAGGTGAGGCTAGCTGTCTCCACTGATGAAGCCACAGTGCAATCAGTCACTCCCTCCTTCCTTTTCTATCTGAATCTCCCATTGTGAAGGTAAAACCCAAATTCTAAGACATTTATACAGACTGTATTCTTCTGAGAGTATTCTAAATCTTTTGGACTCCTTTCTCCCACTAGTGAAGCAAAACCCTGGCTCTAAAAACAACTGTCTGGGTGCTGACAGTGGCACATTATGACATATTCCCTCTCCCTTTAGTTCCAGAGTAAACAGATGCATATCTTGTACCTTGGCCGATCACAGGAGTTGGGTCTCGGCCACTGCACTCGTCTACTATCTCTGCTGGTCTCCTGCAAATGTATGCAAACCATAACCCAGGAATAGTTCATTTTCTTTAAAAAAAATGGTTTCCTATCTTTCATCTGTATTACCAGATTATTTGCCCAGAAACAATTTCACGCAATCCTTTCTCCAGCAGTTCTCAACTTTCAGCGTGCAGCAGAATCACCTGGAGAGCTTGTTAAAACTCACACACACACGCACACACACACACACACACCCACCCACACACACACACCCACCCACACACACCCACACCCACACACACACACACACACCCCCACACTCAGTTTCTGATTCAGTGCGTTTGGGTTGGGATCCAGGAATCTGCATTTCTAATAAGTCTCCCAGTGATGCTGATGCTGTTGCTGGTCCAGGGAGTATTCTTTGAGAACCACTGCCCTAAACCAATTTTATTGATTCTGATTAACTTCTGTACTGTGATAAATTTAAATATTATCAGGTGAGTTTAAATAACATTAGGCAGAGATGATGTTTAATTAAATTACATGAGATAAATTGGATCAATTTAAAATGCTATCTGATATATTTAAATGCCACTGGGTAAATTTAAAATACCATCAGGTGGAGATGACAGTGTACCCACAGGTCCTACGAAAAGAGGCAAAAAACAAAAAACAAAAAACCAAGAGTGAGTGAGAGCTTCGTGGTTCTTCCCACAAAATTCTTCAAAAATATATAGGAAGAGGTTGAGGTGGTATATTGTGCACACTGGTGTGTTGCTAAAAGTACAACAGGACATTGTAATGTAATGGTACATTATTATAACAGCTCAGCTAAACTATGGGTCAAAATATAACCCCTACAGTTTGATATGGTGGAGCCCTGGTGGTGCAGTGGTTAAAGCGATCGACTGCTAACCGAAAGGTTGGCAGTTTGAAACCACCAGCGGCTCCGCTGGAGAAACGTATGACAGTCTGCTTCCATAGAGATTTACAGCCTTGGACACCCTACAGGGTTGCTATGACCTGGAATTAACTCGACAGCAGTGGGTTAGTCTGATATGGACCAATATGCTGATCAGGCAGAGGATGGTCCTATCTCTTGAGTCAGCAATTCTTTATTGATTGTCTATTATGTGCAAGACACCAGACTAAACATAGCTGGGAAAGTTAGATGAACGTGATATGGTTCTAAGAGCTTGCAATACAGTACGTGTGATAGTCAGGACTACAATATAAGGCACAATAGAAGTGTCATGAGACAAGCACAAATATATAATTTTGGATGTTCAAAGGGAGAAGGAATCATCTGAGACTGGGTTGTGGAATGGGGACTGAGAAAACGTGTAATAGAAGAGGGGTCTTTCGAGAAGCGTTGTCTGTAAACTCTCAAGGACAAGGACTGTTAGCTGCTTGGTTGTATATTTGAGGACAGTGGTGTGTAGTGCCACCACCCGTCTGTCAGTTTGTTGTACTGCGGTGGCTTGCATGTTGCTGCGATGTTGGAAGCTATGCCCCTGACTGATATTTCAAATACTAGCAGGGTCACCCGTGGACGGTAGGTTTCAGCGGAGCTTCCTAAGACAGACTAGAAAAGAAAGGCCTGGCAACTTACTTCTGAAAATTAGCCATTGAAGACCTTATGGATCATAGCAGAACACTGTTTGACTCGTCATCAGAAGGAATCAATCACTGGAGGAGGATACCATGTTTGGTGACTTACAGGGCCAGCGAGGGTGAGAGAGATCCTTGATGAGATGGATTGACACAATAATCCCAACAATAGACCTGAACATGCTGGTGATGGTGAGGATGATGCAGGACTAGGTAAGATTTTGTTCTGTTGTACATAAGGTCATCAGGAGTTAGAGTTGACTCGACAGCAGCTAACAATAACAGCAACAGCAGCAATATATAGTGCCTGGCTGGGCAGGTGGTCACTGAGTGTTTGTGGGTAAGTGTCTTGAAGGATGAGTGTGACTTAGGTGGAAAGACAGTCTTCATCAAAAGAATGGGGCATTTGTTCAATGAACATTTGGTAATGTGCTAAACTCTGTGCTAAATACTTGATGTGGAATATCTCATTTAATCCTCATAATAACTCATAGATAAGTATGTTATCGCTCCCATTTTACAGATGAGGAAACTTAGGATTAGAAATCTAAAGGAAGTTGTCCAAGGTCTCCTTACTAGTAAATGGTGGAGAAGTAATGAGAGCCTGAGCGAGGGTGATGGCAGTATGAATGCATAGCAAGGGACATGCTATGGGGATGTAACAGTATTGCAGAGACAGTATCCATAGGGTCAGACAATGACCAGTTGTGAGAGGAAAGGGACAGGTACAAGTTAAAGTTGACTCAAAAGTTTTGAGGCTGGATGACTTGGGGAAAAGTGTTGTCATTATCATGCTTCTTAGTCCTGATAATCTTAGCATCATAAAGAGGCGAAGATTTTTTGAAAAGGAGAGTAGAAAACCAAGAAAAGGAGAGACACAGGTAGATGAAAGATGTGAAGAGAAAGAGAGTTTTTAGGTGAAGGGAACCACACTGCTGAGTGGAAACAGAAAAAAAAAAAAACAACCTGATTCCATTGAGTTAACTCATAGCGACCCTATAGGACAGAGTAGAACTGCCCCATAGGTTTCCAAGGAGCGCCTGGTGGATTTGAGTTGCCGACCTTTCAGTTAGCAGCCGTAGTTCTTAACTATGCAACCAGGGTTTCCATGTCACCCACTTTAATACTATTTTCAGAAACACCTATGCTCCAGAATCTCCCCATATCGCTGCCTGTACAACTGATGAAGTATACCTGTAAATGGCCACAAATTCTTTGCACCTTCTTCTATCAAAAGGTGAGTCTATTTCCCCATCCCTTGAATTCCTGTCCTTGGCTAAATGTAGTGGGGATGGTGGTAGCACGTTCCAAGCCTGCCCTTTGAGAGGTACTGCATGCTTCCGCTTGCTCTCTTGAAGGGTGGCCACCACTTAAGGAAGCCCAGCCTAGCCTGCTGAAAGATGAGAGACCATGGAGAGTACAGACAAGCCACTTGCAGCTGAGTCTCCAGACATGTGAGTGAGGCCATCCTAGATCGTCTAGCCAGTCTGAGCCAGGTCAAAAAACCAAAACACCACCCAACCAAACTTCAGAATTGTGAGTAAATAAATGATTGTTATTTCCAGTCACCAAATTTTGGAGTGATTTGTTATGTAGCAAACGCCAACTGATTCACCGTAGTCACTCATTGGACTGCTGGCCAATATCATCAATTGTGGCTTTTCCAGTCCTATGCAGATTTGAAGGACTTGACAAGTTATTTTATCACCCCCTTGCGAACAGTTGACTTTCCGGTCCTGGAGAATATGAGACCATTTCTTCATATCTTACGATGGAGCAAAATAAAAAGTCTGGCTTAGTTTGTCAAATCTATGATAAACCTGGGACAGAATTTCTCTTGAATCCAATTTTTAAACAACCAGACCACCTTGACTTTCCTTGATAAGAGAATTCCCGGTAAATGATGATTATTGTTGCCTACATCAGTGATTTCCAAACTTTACTATGTGTAAATATAACCTGAATACCTTGTTAAAATGCATGTTCTTGATCCCCATTATCAATGATTCAGTAAGTTTTGGATGGGGCTCAGGGATCTACATTGATAATAAGGGCCCAGGATAGTTATGATACAGGTACTCTCCTGATGTTGCTTTGGAAACATTACCTAAATATTAGAGATTGATTCTTAAATAGTCTATGTCTCCATTGTGGCCTTGCTTGGTGATTTGTCCTTGGTTGCAGGTAACTGAAGATACTTCTTGAAACAGGCCAACGATGAACAGATATCAGTACACTGAAAATGCCAGTCTCCCATACTTATGCCATATAGATGGCAGATTTACTCATGTAATTCCCTCTTTCCTCCCTGATACTTTAATTCTGAGTGAAGTATATTGAGGAAATTCATATAATTAGCATCTGGGTCCTGTTCTGCAGGCATCTTCTTTAGCTTTCGTCAGTCATTGACGTTCTTATCCTCACTTACCAAAGAGGCTTGAAAAGTACACAGCAAGCAGGGGGCAAACTTAGTTGGTGTCTAGATTTTCTTAACAGCTCTGTCTCCCTTTTCCTCAGTGTCATTCCTGAGAAGTGTGGTTTAGATGTGAAGGCTTCAAAGTGTATATAGGAGAGACAGAGAGAGAATGAATGAATGAATGAGAGAGAAGGAATGAGAGAGAGAGAGAGAGAGAGAGAGAAAGAGAGAGAGCTGTTAAAGGGTAGTGCTTACAGCTGTTATTTTCTTTCAGTTTTCAGGAAAATTTGTGCAGGGTAAAGAGAGCCAATGATCTGTTTCATCCTAGCATACGACTTCAGGATTTCTCATGGGATTGAAAGCAAATTGGGACTTGAATAAATGACCCTGTCCTTTGTCTGAGTTTAGATAGTGTCAGTTTCTATAGTTCATTTCTGACCAATTTCATCACTGACAACCCAAGAGTCCCTGAAAAAAAGTGATAGGGTTGAAGCCAGAAAAGAGAGAGTTGGGGATTTTTAGAAGAGTGACTTCTTTCCCGCGTGCCCCAACCAGGTCTCTTTTAATTCACCTTTTGCCTCATTTTCCCACCTGGCTATGATACAGAACTTTCTTTCCTTCCGCTGATGATTTTTAAAGGTTTTAATGAGTTGGAATGGACTCAACGACAATGGGTTTGGTTTTTATTGGCAGCTTGAAGAAAAACAAAACAAAACAACAACAAAAACAAAAAACAAAACAACAAAACAAAAGCAAGGAATACATTACATAGGGGAAATACCCTGATTCTTCTCTGACTATGGTAGAGGGTCGCTATGAGTCAGAACTGACTCGGTGGCAACGGGTTTGTTTTTTTTTTTAATGGTAAAGGGATCCATATATATGGGTGAAAATAGGGAAGAACAAGAGAGAACGTTATCTGAGCCATGAGTTCTCCTACCACATCAAATCACATCAGAGCTATTTCTAGATGATTTCAAAATAACTGGCGAACTTAGTTAACTCAAACATCCATTCAATTTAGTGAAACAAAAATCAATCAATCTGATTGTTTGACTGAGTTGGCCCGTCAATTTGACTAAATCCATGGTTTTTCAACTTGAGGTGGTGGGTTTGAGGGTAGACCGAAACGCCAAATCAGAGTCTACCAGAGAAATTCCTTGTTTCCTTCAAAACACACATGCTCAGGCCGCTTCCTTCACCTTCGGATATACCCTTGGGGTTCATTCTGATAGTCCCCCAACCCTAGCTGAGAATCTTCCAGTTAAGCAGCACATTCAGGCAATTTGAAAAGCCCAAGATAGCTCTCCTGCCTCAGCAGTTTCAATAAAAAAGAGCAAACTGATGGTTGATTTTCTAAAAGAGAAAACATGAGCTTATCCTAAATGATTGGAAGGACATTTCTTATTTCGGGGTGGTGGTGTTTCTGTGCAGTTTTTAGGCAGGCACGGACGCTGACAACGCAAGCATAGACCTTTGGTTCTTTGGAATCATTTACTCCTGCTTCAAACCGATGGCCTCTGAAGAGGCTCTCAGGCCGGTTCTGACAGCGAGGGGCTTTCTTTTGTGAATGTTTGTTTTATGATCTAAAAACCAGCGTCCCCCGCAGAATAGCTAAGCCCCCTGCATGACAAGGCTGTGTGCCATCCGGGGATTTGCTAATGGCTAAGCCGCATTATGAACAGAGATTTATGATAACCTTCCCAGTCAATTAAAATTCCAGATATTACTAAGGCAGAATTCAATTAAGGTTAATTGGGGCTTCTGAAAACTGCTTTTCCAAAGGGAAGCCATGATGGGATTGTGACTCCTAGTGGGTTTCGATCAGTTTTAAATAACTTTCCTTGCCTTTCTTTTCTTGGCACACGACGCATCCTCTCCCTGCCTGTTGCCTGGCTCCTGCTATTATGGTTCGATTCAGATGTTGATTTTTCTGTCATAAGTTATCATTGTGACCTGTTTGGTTTTTGCTTTGTCTTTTTCTTAAAATAAAAGAAAAAAACAAAACAAAAACTCCCAAGGCTCTCAACAGACCAGAACCCTAACAAAATCGCAACCTGTGCTGCGCGGAAATCACAGTGGTCTGACATGAAAGAAATATAGTCATTTGGAAGATTGCGACAACATTTCAGAAGCAATTATCCAGAATGGAAAAAGAACCCATTCCTCTTCCTTTGTCATTAAGGTGGATGAAAAGGTTCACAAGCGTTGTCAACGAAGGGGAACAATGAAGCAAGCGGTGGGGGGAAACAGGTGCAAGCAAAAATTAAGATGCAAGTCAGACTTTCCATTCTATCCTAAATTTTATTTTCTTGTCGTCAAGGGCTATTGTGACAGTTCTTAGCACAGTTGATTGAACTGGGAAAGCACATGGGACCGGGCCTTAGTCACTGAATGCAGAACATGTAGCCCGTAGCTCACAGAGCAACGAGCAGGGAGTGAATAATAATTCCAGCCGTTTATTTTCTCAGAATTTCCAACCTATTGTTTATCGCTGGAGACCAATAGCCAAAAAAGCTAAGGAGAAATTTTCTTTTTTGAAAAAGAAGAAATGGTAAGTGTGGGTGTAGGGAAGAGGCACTGCAACTGCTCAGATGTTCTGTTGTTCTTCCAACTAGCAGAGCTATGCATTTGCCACAGGCAGATAGAAACACCCGTCTCATGCCGCCTTCTTCTTGAATTAGCAACTCGTTACGTGTTTACACACCAAGTCTGTCACCATACAAGTGCACGGCAGAGCATGCGTACAGGGGGCGCTTGCAGGCAGACAGTGGCTTTGGAAATGGCCTCGCTGCTAGGAGAGCAGATGAAGGATTTCCACGGGATAAGTCGTAGAGGTTGCTGATTCCAGTGATTCCTTCTTCGTGCATTTCAGGGGATGGTAGAACCACGCTGTGGGCAGGTTGTGACGTATGTGAAGTTATTTGCAGGCTGTTATGTGTAGCAATGAACAGATCTGTAGAGTATCACGTTCTAAATGAGCTTCCTTCCGATGTCTCTTTCATTTGAGCGTGGTGTTCAGATTGCTTCTGCCTCATCACTGTAAGGACACACATTGGAATTGTTTTCTAGGGATGGTGATAGTCTCATCAGCACAGGGCTCCCACCCATTGCTTTTAGCTACAGAAAAAGCACAATCTAGGAATGAAGGTATAACCCACATTGGCACGTGCTTATTTTTTGCCAGTTTCTTCCTTCCTTCCTTTTTTTTTTTTTTTTTTAAAGCTAACTGGAAAAAGAGAGACTGAAAAAGGAGAGAATTTCAAATTGCAGAGGTGAAGGGGAAAAGTGTCTGTAATCAGAAATCTAGGGTGTAATTACATGATAGCCAGAAGAAAGAAACATGCAGGTACAATAAGTCTCCAGAGTGCGATTGCTAATGAATTCTCTCTCTTCCTCATGGAAAAGAGCCACGTTTGTAAAATTAAAAGTCAATGCCTCTTTGATGAGAGGATTGCAGGCTCCGCTGTCCTTTTTTTCAAATATTGTGTGCTTGGAAAGAAGAGCGAGGAAGCTAAACCTCCAGTCAAGGGCATTGGAGCAGAGCAGGCAGCCTGACTTTTCTTTTCTTTTTTCTTCTTCTCCTGTTTCAAGGCTATGTGAGCATTTTTCTGAAGGAACTTGATAGGCGGTACGTGCGTGGCTGTTTTGCGAAATACGACTTTGTCTATACAACATCAAAATACCCAGTCAATTCAGAGGAGGGAAACAGCTACACCAGTCTTTTGGCATCCTGTAGCCAAAATGAGTGGTTGGCTGGATTTTTCACTATCCCGAAGTTTGGGGGCTGTATAGAGTTTGTGGGTATGTGCTCCCACTGACCTGTAAAGCAGGGGTCAGCTGCCACCAACTGGCACCCTATCTGGTAGCAGAGAGTCTGTCACTGAAAAACGCTTATAGTTTGAGAGGAGACCAAGAGAAATATCTACTTCATAAACCTGCAAAGTTGCCTGAAGTTAAATCACTGCAGTTACTTGTTTGAGTGACATAAATAATGCCACCATTTAACAGTCTCGTTAGCAAAGCAGAAGCAGGGCCTGGTGGGGAGAGAGTGGAGACCATTGTTTGCTGCAACCAGCCCCTACAGGCTTTCCAGAGTCGATTGT